GCATGCCAGGCTAGTGTGCTACCGCTTGTGCCACATCCCCAGCCCGGGACTGGCTTTAAAAATATCTCTCTGTTGATTGCTTGGAGACAGTACCACAGACCAGCACTGTCCATAAAACTTTCTGCAATGTCAGAAATGTTCTGTATCCATGCAACTAGTCGTGTGTGGCTTTTAACACTTGAAATGTGGTTAGTGTAACTGAGGAATTGAAATTTAAGTGCTAGTTAACTGTAACTAATTTAAATTTAAATCATGGGCTGGGGATGTGGCTCAAGTGGTAGCGTGCTTGCCTGGCGTGCGTGAGGCCCAGGTTCGATCCTCAGCACCACATACAAAACAAAGATGTTGTGTCCGCCGATAACCAAGAAATAAATATTAAAATAAATAAATAAATAAATAAATTTAAATCACCACATTAGCACAGTGGTTACCATATTGATCAATATAGCTCTAGCTCCTACTTATCTCCTGGTGATCACTCTCATGTTAAGCTAGACTGGTTGCTAGTCAGGGTCTGTGATTCTAGGCTGGCAATGATTAGCTATTTTAAGTTAACACACACCAAGAAGATTATAATTTCTGAAAACAACAATGTCTTTAACTTGGGAAAATAAAAAGTGAGTACAAGCACTATCATTGTTTTTTAAAAAAATTATTATTATTATATTCAGTAACTAAAAATAAATAGCACATTGTTGAATTGTAGCTATAATTTTAGGGAGAGAGAGTCAGTGACCACATAAACCACAGAAGTAAAGATTAAAATTTACTTTAAGCTAGGCAATTATGCAGGACTTGGACTGCACTAGGGATGACCTAGTTTAGGATGAAACCATACCAAAAAGAAGAGGAAGAGAGGAGAGTACTATAGGAAAGAAAACAGGATCTTTCCCACTCATCGAGAGTGCTTTGTCATCTAAGATTTATTTTTAGGTTTGTGCATTTTAAACATGCTTTCTGAGGCTATTTTTCATCTTAGAAGAGTTTCCAGATTTTAAATTTAGAGGTCTGTCTCATGCTGTCTCGGCTGAAAGCAGCATCTCGGCATCACATTTTAAGAACCAAAAGCCAAACCGATTAACTTCAAAGAAGGCACTTCCACAGAAGTGAGGGCTATTGCTGTTGAGGAAAATGTAGCAGGGGTTTCAATGCCACATTTGACAGACCTGAAGTCCTTTCACCCTCTGAGACTTTTTCATTATATAAATATCTATTTTGATTGAAAAAAATTTAAATACATATAAGTAGAATGAAAGAGGAGGGTAGCTACATGCCATTATACATTTGTCCAGAAACAGATTGTTCAACACCAGAGTGAACCCTAATTTGAACTGTGGACTCTGCACAGCACAGCAGTGATGTGTCCATGTTGGCTCATCAGTTGTAACAAAGACACTTCTCTGGTGACAGGGTGACACAACATTCATGCATGTGTGAAGGCAGGGTATATATACATTGGATATCTCTGTACCTTCCTCTCAATTTTACTGTGAACCTAAAACTACTCTAAAAAAATTAAGCATTTTTTTAAAGTGGGGGAAGGAGTATCAGTAAGCCATCACTTAGTAATAAATGCTGCTAAGTACATTTCCTCTTGGACTTTATGTATCTGTCTATATCTCTAGAACATGCATCTCTACATACATATGTGCAAGTCATATAGTCATCCCTCAATATCTGTGGGGCATTTGTTCCAGGACAAATCCTACCCTGATGGATCCTCAAATCCCCAGATGTTCAAGTTCCTTATATTAAATGGCTTGGTGTTTGCATGTAATCTGTGCCTATCCTCTCACATACTTTTAATCATCTCTAGATTACTTATAATACCCAGTACAAATTGATGCTATGTAAATAGTTTTAATCATTTTATTAATGACAGGAGGATAAAAGTTTGCACTTGTTTAGTACAGACACAATTTTTTCACCTTAATAGACACTTACCAGCCTCACTGTGAATATCATATCACATACCATTGTCTGATTGTTTCCTTAGGTAAGATGTGTATAAGTAAAATCAATGGATTCAAAGGGTATAGCACATTGCTGAGGCTTCTGATACACATATCAAATTACCTACCATCTGTAAAGGTTGAGTTAGTTGACTATTCCCTTGATTTTTTTTTTCCCCCCCCTTGGTGGTACTGGGGATTGAACCTAAGGGTGTTCTACTACTGACCTACACCCCCAGGCATTTTTATTTTATTTTGAGACTGGGTTTTCCTAAGTTGCCAAGGCTGGCCTTGAACTCGTGATCCTCCTACCTCAACCTCCCAAATTGCTGGGATTACAGGTGTGTGCCACTGTGTTCAGTTTATGTCCTGTATTTTCTGAAGATGAATTATTCTGCTCTCAAAAATTCTTCTAGTCTGCAGTTTTTTTTTTGTTTGTTTGTTTTTTGTTGTTGTTGTTGTTTTGTTTTGTTTGTTTTTAGCTGCAGTACCCAAGTCAGGGTTCATGCTCTTGCTTAGGCTTCTGTATACACAGAAGCAGCCTCTCCTGCTGCTGTTAGGCTTGGAGGCAGAGCAGTTGCTGTCTGTGCTCAGAGTGTCCAGTCCCTGTGTGTCCTTCTTACCTGTGCATTCTTTTTCTCTTTTCCAGAGTGAACTAGATGTATCCTTTTTCAATACTGTTTTCCACAGTATTTGGCAAAGCAGAAGTGCCATGGGGCAGGAAAACGGTTCAACAGATTCCAGAATGTCTGTCATCAGCAACTGACAGGACAGCCAGAGGTGCAGGTGTTTCACATAATCCTACCGCAGCCTTTTTTACAATTTTTTTTAAGACTCTTTTTTTCCCCCAGACAGGGCTATGTTATGGCATTTGTTAATAATAACTATTATATAGTAACTTCTTTTAAGCACATGGAATAGGCTTGTTCAAAATGAATATAATAGCCAGAAGGGGCTTCATCTTCAGAGAGAGAGAATGGGTTTTCAGGAATGTAGGTATAAATCTCTAGAAATCCCCTCATGATCAGAAGAAGGCCTTCAGGGTTGATAAACTAGAGGGTTAAAGAAATTGCCTGGCTTGTATTCCTTTTATAGCAGATAAAGTTCTCCTTTTCTTTCTTTTAAAACAAAAATGTTCAAGGATCCCCAAGAACAAATATTGCTTAGAATACTATAGGCCTACAGATTTTGGCAGAAACCCACTAGGCTTTGTGTGAGTGCTCTAGAGGAATATTGACTTTTTTAAAAAATATTTTTTTAGTTGGTTGATGGGCCTTTATTTTATTCATATGTGATGCTGAGAATTGAACCCAGTGCCTGACACATGCAAGAAAAGCACTCTACCACTGAGCCATAACCCCTACCCAGGAATACTGACTTTTAATTTAATTTTTCTTCAAAAAATCTGAAAAGGGATAAATAAGTCCTTTGAAAATCCATCAAGCTTGAATCTAAAATAGTAACACTAATTGTGATAAATATCTACTAAAATATATTTAGTACATAACAAATATATTTTAATTATAACTAATGTTTATGTGTATACATACATTCATATGTTTGTCTCTATATATAAATTAGACACCTATGCCAAGAACCAGTATGTTTATATCAACTTGATATTCTGGGGAATGACCATTTACCTGTTATGATGATAGGAAATACTCTGTTGATAAAATACATTTACAGGCAGAATTTGGAAGCTTCTTTAACTGGGAAAAACTGAGTGCCCTCTGATGGTAAGTGACCTAAATCTACCATCCCTTTGACCTAGGAGACCCAAGACCAGGAAATATGTCCATATTCAGCATGTAAACTCTCTTTTTTTAAAAAAAAACAAACATTTTTTTAGATGTTGATGGACCTTTATTTTATTCATTTATTTATATGCTATGCTGAGCATCGAACCCAGTGCCTCACACATGCTAGGCAAGTGCTCTACCACTGAGCCACAATCCCAGCCGAGTAACACTCTATCTTAACTAGATTGTTTAAAGCAATTCAAGATAAATATTTTCCTACTTGTACAAAGGAGTTAGGGGGAAAAAGGCTTTAGATTTAAAAATCAGAAAGATGGCTAGGGATAATAGGCACTTTGTTAGGAGTGCAGAAACTCAATATCCATAGCTATATGTATTGGACAAGGCACACAACCCCTCATCTCAAAATGAGAGAACTACACAGAAGAGCTTTAGCAACCTCTCAGTTGGAATCTCCATGAGTCCAGGTAAATGAGCTAAATAACTTCACACCTACAGCAGGAAGTCTTATAAGTCTAGAAACCCAGAAAATTAAAGTGAATCAGATGTAACAGAGTATATAGTATAGTTGGATTAGTTGTATTGATATGTCAGACATTAACTAGATTTTTATTGGAAGTAGAGATAGGTGTACTTGTCTTTGTATCCTGCTCTTATCTGACACATATCTGTGTAATGATCTCTAGCATTCTAGTTTGAATTTAATTTCCCTACCAAGACACATAATTTGTATCTTTCCCTTTCATTTTACATGGTTTTTATTTTTGCCCTCCCTTTCTCTCTGACCAAGTTTTATATTTATTTTATATTGCATTGACACCTCTCTTCTGTGACATTTATAAAAGGTTGTCACCTTTAGTCTTATGAAAAAAAAAATCCAAAACCCATGACTTTCCTCTGCTTGCTACATAGTTCTTTTGTCCAGGAGAACTTCTGCAGACCAGTCCATAACAGAAATAGAGGGGAACCTTTTAGAGCCTCAATTATAGTTTCCTATGCCTTCCAGTTAGAGTCATACATTTTGTATCATCTTTCTTTAGCATGTAAGCAGGACATACTGGAGCAGCTAGCATTGTTCAGGTCTGCTCTGCCAGACTTTGGGATTGAAAGATGAAAACAAGTAACTATCATAATTGCAATCAGGAGCTGGTTTTCCCAATATACAGAGCACATAATCTGTTTTTGCTCAGTCTTCAGAAAGACTTCCTTGTCAGCACACCTAGGGCAACCATGATTTAAGGCTTGGTTTGGTACAGCAAGAGGAGAGGGAAGTGAAAACCTCATGAAAGTCCCAAGGCGCCACTCACTTATTCAGTTTTTTTCTCCAGAAGTTTTCTTCTTCTTTTTTTTTTTAAATTTATTGATTTATTTTCTAGTAGAATGCATTTTGACATATGGTAAATGGAGCACAACTTCTCATTCCTCTGGCCGTACATGGTTCAGAGTCACTCCAGTCATGTAGTCAATCATGCATGCATTTAGGGTAATAATGTCTGTCTCTTTTTACTGTCCTTCCCATCCTCACAGAAGCTTTTCCATCCTGATGCTTTTAAAGGATGGGGAAGTTTCTCAGAGCCCGCAAGGTTGGACTTTGAGAAAAAAATAGAATACACTATTTGCATTTCTCTCTAGTATAGTCCTGTTCTAAATCTAATAAAACTAACATTACAGAGCAAGACAGATGGGATTTAAAAAAGAAATGACCCAAACACAAAAAACCAGGACAGAAAATCTGACTTGTTGAAAACCCTCCCATCCCAGTAAGTGAAACCTCTGGTGCATAGTGTCAGGTGGGGCAGATTGCCCCCTGGGGACCAGGCACAGCAATGACCTAAATCATTCACAATTGTGAACAGGCTCCTGTACTCTTCAAAGTCCCTTCCCTGCACTGGACTGAAATGCTGCCTGAGGACTTAGGAGGCCTCATTTCTATAGGAAAGTTCACCCCATCTCATAGCTTGGTAGACTATGAGATGACTTCAAGACTTCAAATTTCATGAACTAAGATTGATTTGTTTAAGAACCAACTGATGAGACTCCCCCATATGCCTGCTCTGGATTCCCAGAAGGCTTGCTTTTCTCCAGGTAATTCAAACTGAAAGGAATGGCCTGCCTTCCCCTCTGCTCCATGGTCAGAGGATGGCACCAGTGACCAGCACTGTCTGGGAGATGTACCAGTGCCTCCTCAATTTGGTAATAATCTATTGTATACATGAAGGTACAGAAAACCTCAACAGCCTTTTTGGTATTTGCTGCCTTTACAGAGGCTGAAACACTTGTTTTATTTTGGCTGTAATGGAACACATTTATATGCCTTCTGACCTGGACAACCAGTCTTTTTCTTGGGTCCCATTGTGCTCTGCTTCAGCAGCAACCCCAACCCCCCCTACTCCTGGTCCCATGGCACAAGGATGCTGACCTGAATCCTAAAGGCCTTCCCCCTCGACTTTCTGGCTTTTCAGGTGCCAGACATTCCAGAGCCTGCTAGTAGGGCCTATGGAGGCATTTCTCCCATCCCCACCCCAGGACTGGGAGCAAGAATAACAAAGCAGTACTCAGGCAGGGTAATTGGGATTTCCCATACATGCATGGGAAGAGAAGCAAACTAGCATCCCTACGCATGCTGTTGTGTCCCCTCTACTACACAAATATAAGCTAGGCCTAGAATCCACAATGTATTCTTTTTTTGGAGGGAGGGGTACTAGGGATTGAACTCAGGGGTGCTTTACCATTGAGCTATATCCCCAGCCCTTTTTATTTTTTAAGACAGGTTCTCACTAAATTACTGAGCTAGCCTTAACCTTTCAAGTTGCTGGAATTACAGGCATGTGCCACTGTACAATGCCACAATGTATTCTTTTCTGAAAACCCTTTTAGAATGTTTGTTTTTATTTTATAAATCCCAAAAAGTGATTGATTCTAGAACCCTAAAGCTCCTATGGGTAATATGAAAGCAGCCTGCTTCATCCTCTGTTTACGCCTGCTGCGGGTCAAGGTATAGGGAAGGGTCTCAGTGCTCTATGCCTCATGCCTCAGCCAGCATCTAGCAAGATGCTTCTTGAAGGGGTGTGCATGAAGGCAGCAGTGATTGGCACCACCGAGACTTGCAGGTAGGTGCTGATCAGGACTTCCTAAAGTCTTACATATCTTTAGAGGTCCAGAAACCAGAATGAAACTTCTCTCCATTGGAGATAATCTCAGCCTAATTTAATGAGAAATTGCAAAAGTACTTGTTCAAACCAGGGGCAACAGAAATAAAAGCCAAAAGAACAAAACATTCTTCAAGGAAGCCATCCCATACTGAGAGGACAGCTTCTCACTGAACTGAAATTCTCTACATATTCTCTTAGAAAGTTAAATTGATAATCAGTTAATGAAGTGACTACAAAAGGATTTCTTTTGACATATGCTACAGCATATAACTACTTCAAGAATGGGTTGGTATTACCAGAAAGGACAGTCCTCTCCTTCAAAGGTTAGAGTCAGGAGCTATTTTGGAGTTGAAAGAACACACAATTATGTTAAACCTTGCTTTTTAGAGGAAGAGGTTCTCTCATGTCCTCAGTCCAGACAGTTACTGTATGGCAGAGTTGCAACTGCCTCTAGGTTTCCAGAGTGCTTGACTCAAGGGTTATAAATTCAGTAAAGTTGTTTTCTGGTGTTGGGGGGCGGGGGGCAGGGGGATCTCCCTGTATTGCTCAGACTGTCTTGAACTTCTGGGCTCAAGTGATCCTCCCTCCTCAGCCTCCAGAGTTCTGAGGTATCACTATGCCCAGCTAAATTTGATACTTAAAAAAAAATAAATTACTAATCATTTGTAGACTGTGGAAATTTAGTCTCTAAGGAAACATTTTAAAATGCCTGTTGCTAGTAGTCTTGGTGTTGTCAAAGCTTTGTGAGTAAGAGAAAAGTTTTAGAGAAACATGTCTTTAGTTAGAGGAGTCAAAAAGATGAATAATCTTGCCAGGTATGGTGGCACACGCCTGTAATCCCAGCAGTTTGGGACGCTGAAACAGGATG